ATAAACTTTTGTTAAATTGGAAGATTTTTGTAAAGTACTGTGCATGTGACTATCAATATAATATGATTATCAAAAACATGAGAGACACTGTTGGCTAAAGTTACTCACAGAAATATGTCTAGATTTAGAAAATGAATAAATCAGACACAGTAAGAGCTACAACTTCTACCTAAACTATCTAAGCAGTGCTATGATTAATAACAAATAAACAAAAATGTTCATGCTACACATGATCTTAGCCAAAAGGCCGAGAAGCAATAAAAATGTTCATGCTAATGAGGTTTTTCACTATGTGGTATGGCTTTTTAAAGCCACAGCTCCAACTCCTAAACATTCTGACCAAATTATTGCCATAATCCAGACACATGAAAATTGAACATGTGTCTATAGAACTCCCCCAGGTTTGTGGATATGTCTTTAATTTGTGCCTCTATTTCTTAATCCCCTATCATACTGAAATAGGGGTGTGTGTGTGTGTGTGTGTGTGTGTGAGAGAGAGAGAGAGAGAGAGAGAGTGTATGTGTGTTGGAAGCACTTCTATCATGGACTCAGCTTGCAATATCAGCTCTGATAGCAATTCCTTTCTTTAAGGGCAGCCCATAAGTATTTGATTATTTCTAGGTATTTCTCAAAGGTATAAACTTCTGCAAGCCAGACCTGATAACTTGAAAGTGAAGCTATATTAAAAGAAACCGGATGAGAAATTTATGGGTAAGCAGGTTTACTGCATAATCCTCTCTAGCCATCAAATTACCACTTCACCACTTCTGCAAATCTTTTGTAATGATTGACCCTCATGAATGATATTCCTTCACAAGCAAAAGGATGGTTTCCCCTTAACTATATGGATTTAAAACCCAATCCAATAAAGTTTTCTGTACAAGGAGAGGCTTACCTACTACCTATTGATTCCCTTGCTAACCCGGTAAAGAGGACTTATGAAATCACTATTTCTACTGAAATTTGGTCTTGGAAGAGATTAGTATACTCTCCTTAATGCTAAGAGTGAGATTCAGTAGAATTACTATTATCAAAACATTTCCTTGGGCTACCAAAATATGCCTCAGACTTTATGAAATACTTACAGAAAGATAACTGCCTCAATTGTGTTGTAGTAGGATGACAATTACTTTGAAAGCTGTGGGATTTTTTTTCTTTAACAAGATTTTGATAGGTAAACAAATACATAAGTGAAATAAAATGAAAGTTAGCAAGAAAACTATAAACAAATGTAGATTATTTTTGTATCCTGGGCTGTCTTCCCCTTGATGTCCAAATCACGGGGAAGTTGATTTGGAATTATTTTTAATATAACATTTATATCATTTAGTTTTCCTATATTAAGCCACCTACTTTATTTGACTAATTATTAACTCCAGCCAAATAACTGCAGTTAGAATTAAACTCACCAGTTAAGTCCACATTGCTGTGTTTGTTCCTACCATGAAAAAGGAATCACAGCTATTCCCAGTCCAAAAAAACCATCAAGTACGCAAGCAAACATTCAAACAGACCATTACTTGACGGGGGGGTGTCGAGATATATTTAAAATTGTCTACCATTCCTCAAATGAGGAATTCACCTACTCCAAATCTACAGATCCCCAGAGAAGGTCTCAAGCAAGATTATTCTGAAAAAGGCTGAAGGTTTGCTATATGGATTAAAGAAGGCTGGAAATTTTCTTAACACTTCTTTTAGCAAGAGATTTAGTCTATGTTCCATTCCCTTGAATGGGTAGGTTCAGTGATAGCTTGACCAATAAGACACAGCAGAAGTGATGCTCTGCCCACTTCTGGACCCAGGCCATAATTAAGAGAGTAGCAGCTTTTACTTCGTGTCTCTTAGAACACTTGACCTAAGAAACCACATAAGTGCAATTGCCCTGAGACCACCATGTAGTAAGAAGTCCAAGCCAGATGGAAGCACCCTGGAGGACAAAAGCTATGTGGGGAGACAGGGAGAGAGAGAAAAAAAATAAAGAGGGAGAGTGCAAGAAACAAAGAGCAGCAAGACTCCTAACATGTGAGCAAAGACACTATCTTGGAAGTGGAGTCTCCATCCCCAGCAGCCCGAGTTGATACCAGGTGGATCAGATTCAAACCAGCCAGCCAAGTCCTTCCTGAATTCCTGACCTGCAAAATTATGAGCAGAATAAAAGTTATTTTAAGCCACTAAGTTGAGGATGGTTTGTAATTCAGTGATGGATCAGAAGCACATGGATCTACTTCATATAAAAATATGTATCTCATTAAAATTAGAAGAGCTCAAACTGATCCTCTATTAATTCACACTTTAAATGACTTCAATAAAGCTTGTTCAATGCAATTGGCTTATTTTTCATTACAGTGACAAAATAAAAAATGCAACAGCATTCACGTCAGATATGCAAAAAACACACTTTCAAAACAAAATTGACATTGTAACTTGAACCTTGACAGGTTTGAGCAGCTCTCTTGTAAAACTTCCTCTCACTGTCTAAGTATCTCTCCTTAAAATAAAATTGAGGCAACTTTGAAGCACCTCATACTCCAGGTTAAGTACATGTGAAAATGATAAATTACTTTTTACTACTGAAGACTACTGTGCCCTCTAATCTGAGTGATTAATTTACATCCTGCTCAGTGGTTCACATGCAATTACTACCGTGAGTCCAACGAACCTGAACAAGACAGAATTGTTTAGCCATCTGTACAAGCTCACTATATTTAGAAAAGTACAGCAATCTCCAGGAAGCTTTAAAGTTTTAGTTCATTTTCCTCTCAATGACTCGTGCACTCTATGCTGCATATCAGATTATAATACCATTCCTTTGGACCCAAGTTTGCTCAACCCACCTTATTTTGTTGTTGTTGTTGTTTTGTTTTATTTTAGGCTTTTGGCAGGCTGAAGCCATGATTTTTAGTTTCTGTCTATAGTGATAAGAATAAAAGAGGGATGAGGAAGGGGCTTTATTGGCCCAACTGGAAGCAGAAACTAAGAACTCATGACCATATTCTCTCCATTGGACACCCCTGGAGGAGATCATGCAACACAGGAATCTCTACTGTGAGACGATGCTCATTAGAGAAGGCAAAACTAAAGTGGTCAGCTACAACTGCCATTGTTGAAACCTACAGGCAAATTTTAATTGCATTAATCATTTTTTTAATCCGCATGTAATCTGTTTAATTCCATAACACCCAATTAAGTACAACAAAAGCAGACGCAGGCCTTCTAGATTGAATTGTGGGCTTCAAATGCTTGGTGAGCAAAAGGTCAAGCAACTTTATTTCCATATTCTTCCCAATAAAAAGAATAAATATTCTAGAACATAACAATGGAGTTACATTATAATAAATGTGTCCTTAGGCAATATTGGCATTGTGTGAAAACCAGGTGTATTTACACAAACCTAGAAAACCTAGATGGTATAGCCTACTACATGCCTAGGCTATGTGGTATAGCCTATTGCTCCTAGGCTACAAACCTGTACAGCATACTACTGTCCTTAATACTGTGGGCAACGGTAACACAATGATAATTATGTGGGTATCTAAACATATCTAAACATAGAAAAGCTAATGCATTGTACTACAATGTTACTGCAACTACTGTGTCACTAAGCAATAGGAATTTTTTAGCACCATTATAATCTTATGGACCACCTAACTCAAGAAAAGCCTAACATACATGAGGTCTACACCCCTAGATAAGCCTAAGATAATATGTTTACTAAAAGTTTATGAAAGCTCTTCCTAAGAAAGCATCCATGATCAGCTGGACCTTTAGAATCCCAACTTTGATGGAGAGTCATAGCTAAGGTTTAGAGAATAAAGATGGAGGTTGGAAGTAGCAAGAGATGACACTGGAGAAATAAAAGCGGTCATGGAAGACCATCTGTGTCATTATTGTCCAGTCAAATTTGTGAAAAGAAATCATTGTAAAAAACAGAAAGCAGTGTATACAAAATGAACCAATGAATGAACAACGTGAGGTGATGAATATGTTAATTTGCTTAACTGTAATGACTTCACTATGTGTACGTATATATATACAAGGAAACATATCATACACTTTAGATATATATAATTTTTAAAAGATGAACCAATGAATAAATTCCACCAGGAAGTACATGACATTTCCTAAGCTCATTTCATTATTCTATTGTTAGAGAACCCACTCACCCTCTCCATAGTCACAACTTACGTGCATGCACAAATATACATGCTGTTCCACCAAGTCAGCAAACTACATCTGTCAACGGGTACTGTAACGGGGAATGAAAATCACATATGCACTGAAAAATGGGCTTCCCATTGGACCTAGGAGGCCACATACTCAAAAACCTGGTAAGTCATTTTTGAACTATAAATATGGAAGATTTAAGTCCAATGTTTAATAGCCACATAGGTCAGGGCCAGTGACCACCTGATCCCTCATGGCTCCTTATGCCAAAGAGTCTGCAAAGCACAGCCCAGAGGCAGGCTGTGCACATGAGCGATGATGACAGATGTCATTCTAGTTAAAATTACCCTTTCCACAGTCAAATCGAAAGACTGCCACTGCCCTTAAAGAAATCTGTACCTGTGCTTTGAGCTCAACAGCATTTTGTCAGCAAATCAGGCAAATCAGCAAGGAGAGTCTGAGACAAAGGAGAATTCAGAAACTAAACATGCATATAAAGACTGCTTTGTGCTCCCCATCCATAAACCCTCAGTCCCTGCCAGCCCAATCACTCTCTGGTCAAGGTTTTAGGAAAATCACTAGACAGCACGGCAGTAACAAGCTTTTGAGCCCACAGGACCCACTCTCATGTGAAGGCATCCACCTACTGTGCCTCACTAGATGCCTGCAATCAATTTTTAATTACAGCAGCAGTCACGATTGGAGATAAAGCAGGCAACATGCGGAGAAAGAACCAAGAGCCTGTTTATTACAATTCCAGTCCACCATGACCCAGACTTGTGAAGAGCTGGGCCACAAATGAATCAACCAGTTGCAGCTCAGAAAGATGTTCTTACCTCTGGGACGTTTTCTTATATTTCCTCCTGTAGGAAAAGAGGCATAAACACATATCAGAAAAGGATTGTGGCAGGCAGTGGGTAAGAAAGGGATTACTTCAGTGGGGATGGGCATGGAGGTCAACACTTCTTAGGGGGGTTTCTCTGTGAAGCTTATGGGTTTCAAAGCTTAGTTAAAAGTTTGGGAATGCTGTGTTATATTGTAGTCAGAAGTACAGAACCTAAGCCTTTACAGTAAAAAATAGCATCCCAAGAGCTCAGTGACTCTGCTCCCATGTACCTCCCTTTTCCTTTTGAAGGTTCCATGGCATTTTAGTTGAGGTCAGGCTTTAAAGACCACAAAATCTAGGTTCAAACCTCAATCCTTCCTTTACCAGGTTCATGAGGTTCTTGCAGAGTAAATGAACACATACTTACAAAACATCTCTTTTGTCTGGCATATTAAATGGGTTAAATGGTGAATAATTTTCAGTTATTTATGTTGTCACTATTGTTACTATTATCCCCAGCATCTAGCACTGAGGTCCCTTTAAGGATGTGCCTTTTTTCATGTAAATGTGCAAGCATGCAGCTAAACTATGAGATGAGACATAAGTTCTTCAAAAAAAGAAGTGAGGAAAGGGACAATGAGGAAATCTAGAAGCAAATGTTGAGAAGAGCATTAGGAACCAGCATTAGGAACCACTCCCAGGAAGCAGAAGAGACCCAGTTCCAGCCCACCTCTGCTATTTACAGTCATTTAGCATTAGGCAAATCTTGTGCATCAGGCTTCTTAATCTATCACATGAAGCTAGTAACATCTGCTCTGACCTAGGTCAGAGTGGCAGACAAGGGGAAAATGGCCATAAAATGTATGTTGTCCCAATATCCCAACATTCTTCATATGTGGGTCAATTTTTGTAGACTCTGCAGACCCTTAAAAGAGTTTCAATAGGCTCAGCACTGAGGGGATTAGAGGAGAGGAAGTGCTAAGGAAAGAAAATCCATCTCCTTGTAGCATATCCAGGAAGTACAATGTTTCCCAGTAGACCTTAGTTCCACACCTGCACTTCCATTACAGTCACTGTACCCAGGAAGCAAACCATTGATTTGCTAATGGAGAGCTGTGCACCATATTTTTTTGTAAACTAAAGAGGTTTCAAATTGAGAAACACTAGGACCTGTTACATCTCTGTTAAAATGAAATCACACAGGGCAGTGTCAGGCGTGCAAAGCAGCATGTAACACAGAACCGACAGTGTGCTCTTGACTAGATATGTACTGATATCTATTATCTTAAATGAGACACACAAGAATGACAACCATAACTCCAGGGTAGTAGGATAATAAATCACTCCTTTTTAGTTTTATGAATTTTTCAAATTTTCTTTAAAGAGTGAGTATTATAATAGAGAAAAATGTTAAAGTAGGGATACACCTATATAGTTACATATAAAGATATATACAAATACAGGACTATATAGAGATATTTCCATGTTTCAATTATATCACATATAATAGGGAGGAAGGTTGACTAACAGTGGATTAAGGCTTGGCCTTTCAAGCAAGCTACCCATGTTCCAATCTTGGCTCTAGTGCTTAGCTTTACAATGCTGGACTAGTTATTAAATCCCCCTGAACCTCAGTTTCTTTGTATATAAAGTGGGAAGAATCAGAGCCCCTCTTCTGAGACCTTGTTATCAGAAATAAATGAGATAATTCACCAGAATGTCAGCTCCCCAAGGGCAAGTTCTTTGTGTTGTTTACCTCATACTCTCCCCAAAAGTTGTGATGCATGTGCACTGATCGCTCTCTCACACCTGGACCCTGTCACCAATGACAGCTCACACTTTCCAGGCAGCAGCCAAGGGCAGAAGCTTCACCTTCAGGCAGGGAGCTGTGGGTGTGACCTGTGCCCTTGGACTCATTAGCACAGTAGTCTAATAACTGATATAAGGCACAGCTGGCAAGACGAAAAAAATAACCCATTGAATGTATACAAGGTCCAAAGGCAAGGGGGCAGCTGGAAAAGAAGAATGCCCCAGCCTCTACTCAGAAGCCAAACTAATCCTATCAGCAGACAGTATCTTCGGAGGTCAGAAGAAGACAGCCCTTGCTATTGATTTCCACAGAATTCTCCCAGCACCTGCCAAGGAAATATATAAAGGCACTGCTTGGAGTTCTGAAAGAATCAAAGATAAACAAAAATAAGAAAAGCTTCATTTTCAGCACCTACTAGCAATAAGCACTTAATATACTTTGCTAATCCTCATAACTCTGTAGGATCCCCTCTCTGAAAGAATGCAAATTCTAAACAGGAAGTTAAGACACGCACCTAAAGTGCAAATACAAGGGATGGCTCAGGGAAGCTTTGTGAAAGAGGTAGTCTTGAGTGACGGGTGAAATGTCAGCAGGAAGAAATATGGAAGTATACGGCAAGCGGAAACAGAGGGCATGCCTCATGGTCTCAAACCAGCCTAGCAAGCAGGGACTATAGAGTGAGGTAGCAGGATACAAGGCTGGCAAGTGCTAAGGACAGAGTTAAGCGGGAAGAGTAATAAAATTTATATTTTAGAAAAAGATGATACCCAGGGGGAGGGTCACCTCTTGTGGGGAGCCACATTACACACCCTCTTCTGTGCTCCCACAGCATGCTGAAACCCCTCTGACACCATTCTCCATGGCACTACATTGTCTCATGTCTGTGATTTTGTGGAAAGGCAACAGGGCTCTGGAGCATGACAGACCTGGCTCAAAAACCCAACTTCACCCTCACTAGCTGTGAGACCTCAGGCAAGCTCTGTGCTAAATCAAGCTTACATTTCCACATCTATGAAATGGATGAGATGATCTCAAATGAGAGAATGTATTAAATTTGTCATGTAGTGTGCCTGCCATGTAAGAGGCATTCTAAGACTTTTAGGCCCCTTGGTCCCTCGTTCTGAGCTTCTTGAGGTCAGAGATCTGTCATATGCATCCCTATATCTATCCCAACGGCATGCACATTAACTGGCCCATGGTTGGCTACATAAATGAACTATTTGCAACTGTCATCCATACACATCAAAAGATGGGTTATGCATCTGGTAGACCCAAAGAAAGACAGACCAGAAGTCTGATTTTCAGTCCAACTCGCCTTCATGACACTCCCCACATTCACAGATATATTCCTAGCTTCAGATATTGTAAAGTTTCCCCCTTCAATCTTCTCCCATTTAGACATAGCCCTAAAATCAACCCAAATGGTGTCATCTTACAATGGGATTTGGAGGTTAGCTCTTAAAGCACAAGAGAAAATGCAACTCATAAAAATTACTCAAGATCCAACTCTCAGATTATTTTGAATGGGCAAGATTGGTAAGGCCTGACTGAGCCCTACTCATCCTTCAGTTCTCAACTGAAACATCACTTCCAAAGACCTTCTAGGGTCTCCCAAACTGGGTAACATTCCTTCTGTGTGTCCCATAGTGGCCGGAGCTTACCCACCACGTTGCACTTATGACTACTCATCGTCCTGATCTTTTATGCTTGTGGGAAGAATGATGGCTTACCTGACATCTGCTAGTGTTTCTTCCTTGTCTAACACATAGTGCTCAGCAAATGGCAGCTGCTCATATGTTGTTATTGAATTCATGAATGCATTTACCCAAAAATTAATCAAAAATGTTTTCTTTTTATTCTTTTTCCTTCTACTAAGCAATGATTTATAATGAGCAGTGAGGACATCCACCATAGCTGTGGTTTCCTACACACAGAGGGAAAGCAATGAGAAGGCTGGGGAGCTCACATTTGTTGAGCACTTCCTCTATTCCATTCCTCTTACACAAGTTAACTCACTTACAACTCCTACAAACCCTGAGAGGTTCTACCTACCCACTTTCCACCTGGCAGAAGTGAGTCTCAGAGAGATTAAGTAACTTACCTAAGGATACAGAACCTTAAAGTGGCTGAGACAGAAGGCAAATTCTGAAGCCTTCGAAGAAAATTAAGGAATTTATACAAAGAAGGCAAAAGATACTACCAAGAAACTTAGACATTAGACAAAACCAAAATAAAATTAATAACAATAAAACATACTGTGTTCTGCCCACCCAAATGCAGGAAATGAGTTGGAAAAAAAAAAAAACCCAGTTTATTCTTAGCCTTCTATTTTTAAGAACTTCAACAGAATCCCTGACTCAAATCTGAAAGACAAAGGAAATTTGTTTTGTTTTGTTTTGTTTTGTTTTGTTTTTGAGAGGGAATCTCACTCTGTTGCCCAGGCTAGAGTGCAGTGGTGCAGTCTCAGCTCACTGCAACCTTCTCCTCCTGAGTTCAAGCAAATCTCCTGCCTCAGCCTCTGAATAGCTGGGACGACAGGTGCACACCACTACGCCCAGCTAATTTTTGTATTTTTAGAAGAGATGGGGTTTTACCATGTTAGCCAGACTGGTCTCGAACTCCTGACCTCAAGTGATCTGCCTGCCTCGGCCTCTCAAGTGTTGGGATTATAGGCATGAGCCACCATACCTGGCCTGTTTTTAAAATTTGTTTCTAAAACTTAATTTAAATTTATAATGTTTTGAAACTTGAAACAATACACTACAAACCTCAAGATTTCATATAGCTAGACCAAGCTAATGTAAAAAGTAGAGAATGACAAAGAGCTGTTGTGTTCTGGGACCTGGCAAAGTTGGCAGGGTGGGAGATGGAGAGGCCAGCTTTATGCTGGGAGAGAAGGCAAGGGCATCTTTACAAGACCAGGCTGAGGACACCACCTCAAAGAAAGTCTAGAGTGGCGCTTTGCAACGTCTGTTCCCTGGAATGAGCTCTACTGTTCTCTCTCTCTCTCTCTCTCTCTCTCTCTCTCTCTCTCTCTCACACACACACACACACACACACACAAACACACACACACACGGCTTCATCTGTTTGTTGTTTCTGTTTTTCTAAGGAGAGGCATTATAGCATACTGGTTAAGATCACTTGCCTGAGCTTAAATCCCTTCTCCAACTTATTGTATCTGACAGGCTGCATGATCTTTGGCAACTTATATCACTTCTCCAACC